ACTTCCATATCAACTCATATGGACTAAAGATATCTACGCATATTGTAAATACTTCAAACATTGTTTAATACACCTCAAAACAGACATTATAATTTTTTTATCAAAATAATTTCTTTTGTCGGTGAGAGCTCGTATCATCAAGACTAAGCACAGCATTATCTTCGATCGTCTTATCTGAATCATAAATAACGTGTTCGAAATAACCCCAGTTGCAGGGATTGAATGATTAACTCATGCTTACTGAGACAGTCTACTCTGTAATATTTTGGGTCCATCAGGTATGTTAATATCATCGTATAATCCTTTCATTAACAAGTTCAAAAGCTGTTTTTGTCTAAGATGAGGCTTTGTCACGTGTTGACACAGATGTCTTGTGTCTTGTAACCCAGTTACTTTCACTCGTAGCCCACTCGATTTGTAATTTTATAATGTTTTACAAGTGAAAAAATATTTTCAAAGTCGAATGCAAACTCAGCGTGGTTATACTTTTATCCGTGCCTCATTAATCTGATCAATAAATATCTTGTACAAAGGCAGTGATCGCTGCAACAAACCAAAGACAGGTCGGACACAAGGATTATGATAATCAATAAAAGCCGGGAACTCAGTTCGATCCAATTGATACTCTGTTCCAAATGCAAACTTGCACTCAAGAACATAACAGCTACTCTGACCACACAGCGATACACTTAGAAATAGAACATCTATTCTGAACATACGATGATTTACTGAAAAACATAACAGATATTCTGACCACACATTGATTTACTCAATGACGTATCAGCTATTCTTACCACACAATGATTCACTCAAAAATGTAACAGCTTTTCTGACCACACATTGAATCACTCTAGGACAAATCAGCTATTCTTACAACACAATGATTCACTCAAAAATGTAACAGCTATTCTGACCACACAGTGATTCACTCAAGGACGTATCAGCTATTCTGACAAGACAATGATTCACTCAAAAATGTAACAGCTATTCTGACCACACAGTGATTCACTCAAGAATTTAACAGCTATTCTGACCACACTATGATTCACTCAAAAATGTAACATCTATTCTGACCACACAATGATACACCAAAAGCTTTGCTGCTGACCAATATTGGGGAACAGAAAATTCTAAGTGACTTTCCAAAACTTTATGTGCAATGCAATCAAAACACATTTCCATTTATTTGGATTAATAAAAGCATCTTATTGTATCTTATCTTATCGTATAATACGTCATCTCTTTAGTCAAAAGCAATAATTTTAACAGCTAATCCCCCTTAGGCAATTGAATAATTTCTAACTGGTATCATCTCTATAATGGCAAGGTGTTCCCTTCATTTCGCAATGTATTTTTAATGCATTTTCTGTGTTATTTAAAAATATTTATAATGTTAATTAAGTCTTACCACCTTTTATCTTCATGCAATGTAGGTATATTTAAGGCATTTTATATGTGCTGTTTAAAAATATTGATCATTACGGTCACATTTTACCGCCTTTCGCTTTTCGTTTGATGTACGTATTGTTATGCATTTTCTATGTGTTATTTAAACAAAAATATTGTTAATGATTATTAGCTCTTTTATATGGTTTTTTCTCCCAGAACACATATGAGGAAAAATGTTCTGTCCACATCACATTATGTGTTCAATGCTTTAGCAATTAGTACTCCCACGGTGAACCACCCACTGACAAAATACACAAAGGTATAATGATTTCCACGTTTGTCCTAGACGCAATTAGTTTACTTAGCTAGATTTAACTTTGAATCGTTCAGATCAAATTAGTGACCAGCTTGTAGCTGAGATGGAGATTTGAATCAATTATTAGCTTGTTATGTTCCCAGCGCCTCTCACGTTCAAACGCAATACGTGTAAATACTCTCTAACAGCCACAGCCACGTCAGCAGCCGTACAGAGGCTTTGTGTTGGGGATCTGAAGTAACTAGAGCAACAATTTGAAATTTGGTTCTTTCTGTAATGTTAATAATAAAACAGATTTTTGACGTGCGTATTGAAATTTACTGGCTATGAGAAGTGATGACAAATGTAAACATTGTGGGATTGGTTAACTTTTTATTTAAGTATACTCTATAAAAAGCTTGCATTTTTCAGAGAGCTACATTCATAAGTGTCAAGATGAGCTGGTTGACGCTAGTTGTGTGTGCTGTCCTGGCCTCGCAGGTATATTCTTTCAGCATATGTGAGTACTTTTTAAAAGTTATTTTATTTTATGGATAAAACTGAAGTATTTGTTTAAAGAATTTCGAATATATCAAAGATATAAAAATGATGCATTATCAACAAAATTGTGAAAATATGTGCTCAGAGAACACAATTAAATTTGTTTCAAATTTGTGTTTCTATGAACGCACTCTTTTATGTGTGCTTTCTTTTTAGTTTTGTGGATAAAAATGGGAATTAGATCAAATAGTAATTTGAAAGTTGTGACAAGGCTTCACACAAAAAATCGCATCAAATGTTTGATCGAAAATGTGATCGTGTGAGGTCAGCATGAGAATATATCCAAACCATTATTAGGGATTGTGTAATGAAATAAATAGCAGTGAAAGTCTAGAGCTTGTTGTAATGTTTGACTCATTATCTTAATTCTCAAATCTTTTCATTTCAGTTGGTGCAAACAGTAAGTAACTATGTCTATAGTATATTTTTTCAGTTTTCTCTCAAAATATTTCTAAATCTATTTCATCTCCTAAACACTCAAAAGTGATGCGCAGAACCCTGCTAGAAATGTGCGACATAAACAGTTAAACTGAGCTGATGGCCTTGTGTTTCTATAGACAATGATTCGAACTAATTAAAGAAAGGTGATACTTTTCAAAGCAGTTAAATATATAGATTTCTAGCGTGCAGGAAAACTCAACTCTATGATTAAGCTTTAAAGTATTAAGATTGTTCGAATTATCTGACCAAAAACAACAAAGGGGAATACTAAAGTTACTCGGGGGGCAAAGAGCAATCACTCCTTACATCCTGGCTCATAATTATTGGCCACGAGCTCAATATGCTTGACTGTGTCATTTGAAAAAGTGGACAACCTCCCCAAGTGCATCCTCCCTAAGGTCAAGCTTTTGGGCATCCATCCAACAAGGGCATTACTGTTTTTTGTAACAAGCGTGCAATACCGTCAGTTTGGGATCCGTTTTTGTCTAGTCAAAAAAAAATATCCGGAAAAAAACAAACACCAACTCTTCCGTTGAATCTTCATTTTCCACCATGGATTACCTTTGTTCGTTCGGGGTAATGTATGTGTGTGGTTGCCACCTTCCCACAGGGTGTACATCGTTACTCGTTTGTTAGCCCTTCCTTATAGTCCCAGGAAGTGCTATTTCCGTGTCTGTCCAAGGGTCACTTTTTATGACAGTTGTATTAGTCAAGACCACGTTTATGACGGGTAGGAATTGGCGTACTGGTTTTTTTTAAAGGGATTATGTTCAGACTTATTTTATTTCATGATGGCGAGATATTGCCCTTCACGATCTTTTCACGGGGCATGCAAAAAAAGATATCAACAGCTTTTTCCTGGTTCACCCAAACGCTTCGTACTTGGAGAAAAGTTTGAGTAGATGATAGCATGGGGTGATAGTGGCTTTATAGCATGTGGTGATAGTGGCTTTATAGCATGTGGTGATAGTGGTTTTATAGCATATGGTGATACTGGCTTTATAGCATGTGGTGATAGTGGCTTTATAGCATGTGGTGATAGTGGCCTTCTCCTTGCCTTGTTTGGAGCTGCTCCGCAATGTGTCAAGACTGTTATACAGCTGATAAATGAACATATTCTGTCTTAGATCAAGTTTATTGCAAGATACAAGTATTCAACGCTATTTTAAAGAGATTCCATACCGGCCCCTTGCGCTTTCTTGGAAAGGTTTTTGTCAAATAATTTTAAATAAATGACTTATATGCCCAGTTCCTTGGTGCATGTGCACTTTTCGATCACTTAAAACAGTCCAGCTTACATGAAATGTTCAATATAGTTTAGCTTGCAGTCCCCACTGCGGCAAAGGTCTTCATTCTTACTAAACCGGCACATGGTAAATGCTTTCTTTAGACTCTTGTGGGCTAAGATAAAGAATCACGTAGACTAAGTGCTTAGTCAAAGCCTTTTTTCCCCCTTCTGTCTTTTTTTAAATTGCAAAATTCTTTCAGATTCTTGTTCCAATGCGTTCCAAAAATTCTCTGAATGACTCTTTTGTCACTTTTAAGAGCAGAAGCCACGAGAGTGATAGAAGTGATCCCTGGTAGCTACGTTAACATTTGATTACATCACGTCACGATGCCTTCACTTCAATGTTTATTAGTATATTTTCATATTTAAGGGCCCACGAAGAATTTGGATCATGGTTTGAATTCAGAGTTAGCCTTCTCTTAGGTGAGTTGACTTCCAAAACTAATGAGTCCCATCCCCTCTGGGTGCTTGGCCCGGTTTTGGCTTGGATTGAGCTCCTGTCGATGAACTTGAGATTTGCTCAGTTTAGACCATTCGGCCACCCATCACCCATTGTTGTTTTGTTGTTTATTATCAAAAGTCTGTGGGATCTTCCAAACTGACCTCCTTCTCTAATTCTTCTGAAATGAGTCTCAGATCTTAGATCGCATTGTTGCCCTTATTTTTAGCCGCGTGGTTTACAGGAATGCTGTTTTTGCTTTGCTAACTGATAAATGTGTTAGGCACATTACTCTAGTCCATGCAACGCCAGGTGGTGTTACGCTCCATTGCGTCCAATATTTGTATTTTGTTAACAAATTATCCTATTCATAAACGAGCCACTGTCGCCCTACACCGATCTCAGGACGGCTGTAAAATTTCCGGAAACAGTGGTAAGAGGCCTCCTCTTTTAAATGATTACATGTGTTTAAAGTCATGCATATTCTTGAGATATAATCACACTAGATCTAATCAATACACAACACTTCAACAGATTTCAACATTTTCATTATTTAAATGTTTTTAAATAAAATGAAATTATTACAGTTGGTAGCTCGCTACTACAGAAACCAAATCAAGAGCCTCAGTTCACTGAAATAGAACCACCAGTATTTCAAGAGCAGGAACCTCAGTTCACTGAAAGTGAGCACCCAGTATTTCAAGAGCAGGAACCCCAATTTACCGAGAGCGAAACACCTTTCAAAGAAGAGCAGGAATCTCAATATCCAGAAGTTGAGCCTCATGTACCGGGACAAGAACCTCAGTATCCTGAAGGAGAGCCCCAAGTACCGGTAAAAGAGCCCCAGTATCCTGAAGAAGAGCCCAAAGTACCGGGACAAGAACCTCAATATCCCGAAGGAGAGCCCCAAGTACCTGGAAATGAACCTCAATATCCTGAAGGAGAGCCACAAGTACCGGGACAAGAGCCCCAGTATCCTGAAGGAGAGCCCCAAGTACCGGGAAAAGAACCTCAATATCCTGAAGGAGAGCCACAAGTACCGGGACAAGAGCCTCAGTATCCTGAAGGAGAGCCACAAGTACCGGGAAAAGAACCTCAATATCCTGAAGGAGAGCCCCAAGTACCTGGAAAAGAACCTCAATATCCCGAAGGAGAGCCACAAGTACCGGGACAAGAGCCCCAGTATCATGAAGGAGAGCCACAAGAACCGGGAAATGAACCTCAATATCCTGAAGGAAAGCCCCAAGTACCGGGACAAGAACCTCAATATCCCGAAGGAGAGCCCCAAGTACCGGGAAAAGAACCTCAATATCCCGAAGGAGAGCCCCAAGGACCGGGAAAAGAACCTCAATATCCTGAAGGAGAGCCACAAGGACCGGGAAAAGAACCTCAATATCCCGAAGGAGAGCCCCAAGGACCGGGAAAAGAACCTCAATATCCTGAAGGAGAGCCACAAGGACCGGGAAAAGAACCTCAATATCCCGAAGGAGAGCCCCAAGTACCGAAACAAGAGCCCCAGTATCCTGAAGGAGAACCCCAAGTACCGGGACAAGAACCTCAATATCCTGAAGGAGAGCCCCAAGTACCGGGACAAGAACCTCAATATCCCGGAGGAGAACCCCAAGTACCGGGACAAGAGCCCCAGTATCCTGAAGGAGAACCCCAATTACCGGGACAAGAACCTCAATATCCTGAAGGAGAGCCCCAAGTACCGGGACAAGAGCCCCAGTATCCTGAAGGAGAACCCCAAGTACCGGTACAAGAACCTCAATATCCTGAAGGAGAGCCCCAAGTACCGGGACAAGAACCTCAATATCCCGAAGGAGAGCCCCAAGTACCGGGAGAAGAAATTGTACAAACTACTCAAGGTAAGTTTCTATTGAAAATTCTTTTGTAAAAAGAACTTTCTAAAAGACAATTACATTATATTTTGATGTCTTTCCATCACTTGATGACGTCATTGAAATTATTTAATGAAGGTTTAATTCAAATAACACAAAAAATCGTAAACATGGGCATTATAACCATGATGAATGGGGCCGACTTATTAAAAAAAATTTCTCTGGAGACCTCTGGCACATGTTTTTAAAAGAATGACGCCCAAGCGACCCCCTTCATCTGTCAACTATGTTTACTGTTTCATCCGTCTTCAGGCCATGAATAAATACCTGCCCAGCCTATTTTCTTTTTTTAAAACTTTCTCTCCACATACGTACGGGCTCATTACAGATACGGGAGTCTTAGCACTGAATCTTTTGTCGCGTAGTATAGTTCCTATATTTTTTTTTAAATTACTAATAATAAAAAAAGAGCAAATGTAAAAAAACAACAAAAACATAAACAATGTTAAGCATTACGCCGAATTTGTAAAAAAACAAATATTATTTGGCAGATTTTGTTTTAAAAATAGGATATCAATTAAAGTTCAAGCCCCCTTGTATTTCATAGGAGAGTGTGATGGATATGTGTGCCATGTGTGGTCAAGATCTATCAATCCTGGTAGAAAAGTATTCGGAACATTTTACTTATAAAGCTCATCTATGAAAGCTAAAAACAAGAAATTTTGGCACCCCGGCCCTAAATGGACCCCCCCTCCCGCTCTCCCCCCCTCGTAAGGGTAGGCTAATTTTATTTGGAAATAAGCGAAACAAATCATGGGGAGAAGCAAAAAAACAACGAACGTGTCAGCAATAAGCCTTCGTCAGAGAAACAAAAGTAAAATTAACATAAATGCTTAGTTGCAATGTCGTATCCGAAAAGGCAGCAAAGGGAATGTGATAGACCACTGGTCGGAAAACTCATTAGTCAAAAGAGTAAAAAATCAGCAGTAGGACAACGGAACCTGTCTTAAGGGTCGTGTTTTTTAGAGTCAAACCCAACTTGGGGCCGACTGGCCGAGCCGCACACACGTCGTTAAAGAGCTGAATGCGGCTCGCAAGCTCTGTGATAGACCATTAGTAGGTAAGCGAGTCCTCTTTAACAGGTTTTCCCCTGCTTTGTTTCGCTTGTATCCTTCTACTTAACCCGATTGCCGTCTGCTCCATTATTTTATGACTTTATGTGAAATCAACCAAGCGCGTTAAGTTTTCACTCACTGTAGCAGGACGTAGAGGCACATGTCTCATGAGATAAGCCTCAAAAGCTGATAATACTGATTTGTTCATTGTGTCTTTTCAGCTACAGAAGCACCTACAGAGCTACCAACCGAACCACCAACCGAACCACCAACCGAGCCACCAACCGAACCACCAACAGAACCACCAACTGAACCACCAACCGAGCCACCAACCGAACCACCAACAGAACCACCAACAGAACCACCAACTGAACCACCAACCGAACCACCAACCGAGCCACCTACCCTACCCCCTACAAAACCACCTACAACAGCTGTACCAAGTAAGAATCATTATTAAATTCCTGTCAGTGTTTTAACTAAATCAATACTATTTTCCCCATATATCTTTCATAAAACAAATTCTATAAGAAACTCCGCAAAACAAAAAAAAAAAAAAAAACACCGTATGGCAACAAATGCGTAATGAAGTTCCCAAAGACATTTATATGCAAATTTAGTACATGTTTTTTATTCTATTAACATTATATTGGAAGTCATTTTTTTTTCCATTAATGCAATATAATAAGAGAAGTACTTTTTTCTTCCAATTGATATCCTAATAAAATTTCAATATCATTTTCACATAGCTCTCAGACAGTAGTCATTGATGATATAAGAAATACACAATTTTTTATATTGTTTCAAAATGTTTTATGAAATCTTCTTCGTTCGGCCGTTTCTATCAGTGATCTGTCCATTCAGTGGCTACTTTTTTCATATCAAGCTTCTCAAAATGTGCTTTTATCTAATTACACAAAAACAACACACACTGTTATTAACACATGAAATATATTCCATTAGGCTTGATTACAAAACTTATAATTCAAAAACCATGGAAGATCTCTTAATTGAACTGTTTCATCGCTAGCTACTCCACCACCCCCCTCTGTGGCGCCTTGTAAAAACGCCACCAAAGCAGACATCCTCTTCGTCCTGGACGCCTCCTCCAGCATAGGGCAATACAACTGGGGCAATCAGACCAAGTTTGCCGCTGAACTGACTGAGGCGTTCAACGTGGGACCCAAGGAAGTGCACTTCGGCACGATCACTTACAACAAGATTTATACGAAGTTCTTTGATCTGAAAGACCACTACGATCACCAGTCACTATCTCAAGTGCGTCTATTGGCTTTAACACTGCCATCACCATTATTCTATCAAGTAGCTTAAGGACGGTAACATTGCAATGATCACACAGGGGCGTAGCTGGAGTTTGCGGAGGTTTGGACCCCCCGGGTGTGACACCACCTCAGGGGTGACACCATCTCAGGGGTGACAACATCTCAGGGGTGACACCATCTCAGGGTTGACACCATCTCAGTGGTGACACCATCTCAGGGGTGACAACATCTCAGGGGTGACAACATCTCAGGGGTGACACCATCTCAGGGGTGACACCATCTCAGGGGTGACAACATCTCAGGGGTGACAACATCTCAGGGGTGACACCACCTCAGGGGTGACACCATCTCAGGGGTGACAACATCTCAGGGGTGACAACATCTCAGGGGTGACAACCTCTCAGGGGTGACAGCATCTCATGGGTGACAGCATCTCAGGGGTGACAGCATCTCAGGGGTGACACCATTTCAGGGATGACACCATCTCAGGGGTGACACCATCTCAGGGGTGAAATTAAATTGAAAAATTGCATATTTACAGAGCATGCACTGCTTGGTTTTACAGAATTTCATAATAGGATAACCGATCACACTTAAATTTCCCACACATGGTACTAATCCAAATGCGTGCTTTATTTAGAGTTGAAGGTTGATGCGTCAGAAATGAGATGACCCTATAATTTGGTCAGAAAACAGTTTGTACCATGTCCAATGCCAATTGAAGTGTTCGATAACTGTCCTAAGTGACATGAAGCTATATTTATATAAATTATGAGAAATGAAGCTTTCAATTGATAACAAATACGATGATGACGGGCAGCGGGCGATTGTAAGCACACGAATCAAATCGGTAAAAATTAAAACATTTAAAAAATGATTTTTACCCATTTATGAGGTAACCAAAATGACATTTTACAAGATTATCTAATATCTTTCAATAATTAATTTAATTTTTTAAAAATTTTGAATAAAAAATGTTTTCTAAAAGAAATACATCGAAACCTAAAACTTTTGGAAATAATAAAATATCATCGATTCGTCACTAGTACCGCCCCTTAACATTTGAGCAGGATTGTAATAAAGCACACGGTCTTTTACATGTTGTCTGTGATTTTACGTTTATCTATTTGAAGAAGTAAACCTTACACAGCAGTATCTGCAGACTAAAGACTTTACTCTTGAGTCAGTGGTGACAAACCTAGAGGCCTTAAGATTGTTTCTGCCGGACAAGCGATGCCACTTGGTTAACAATGCCATTGAAAAGGCACTTAAAAATTCAGATCAATATTGAATTTCAGAACACAGGAGTTTAAGGTTGAAGAAGGGAATGTCAGGAGAACACTTAAACAGATGGAGTGTATCAATCGCTTTTATTCTGAACTCCAGATACATTCATCAGCAATAAAAGTAGTAGCGTTGGGGGCTGTTCAACCCAAGAGTTTTTCATCGTCAAGTTAATGTGAATTATTGGAGTCCTTTTCTATATGAACATCTTTCTATAATAAGTTATCAGAAGATGAACTTTCAAAAAACAAAACAACCTAAGGCTTAGAAGACATTTAAAGGCAGGTGATACTGAATTTAACAACGTCATGGACTGGTCATTATTGGATATTTTTAAATTCATAGCTGAATGGGAATTTATAGAACCTCTTCCAATGCTCTCGCTAAGCCTTCTAACGTTTCTTGTGATCTGATTTTGCTCTATTGACAGTTGAAAGAAAAATATATTAATTTTTCATCAAGGGATTGACAGGCTGCTATTTTGAAGAACAGGAAAGGATAATTTTAAATAAAATAAATTTTATGTAATAAGAACGATAACTCAACGTCGTTACAATTCTTAAATAAATTGACCTCCTAACCTTTAATTAATTTGTTTCTGTTTTTGTCATTGCTATTCTGTGGAATTATTTTAACAAGAAGATATCGTTAGAAGTCAGGGGCAGGGCAAGGGGAGGGGATGACACCATAAGTTTATCGCTCCGGGTGACAGCAACCCTAGCTACGCCACTGCCATCACCATCACTCTATCAAGTAGTCTATTGACTTTATAATGAAATTATGCATTTTTTTAATTTTAATTTTGTAAATAAAAAAAATTGATTGAACCTAGTAGATATCTAGAAGTAGAGAATAATTTTTTTACTGAAAAAAGAGAGGGGGGAAAAAAGTTAATTTGAGAGTATCGTTTATTTTCCGTGTGCTAGGCTAAATCGGAAGACGTCAAAGGTTCTAGAACATTGTCTCATGGCTGCTAAATATTGCACTATTACTAACATATTTTTCAATGTCCTCTGGCAGAGTATTTTGGATATTAAATATCCTCGTGGCAGCGGGACCAGGACAGACATTGGGTTACAGGCAGTGCTGGATGAGAAGCTGTTCAGCACGGAAAAGGGAGGCCGGCCAGATGCGGACGATATCGTCATCATAATGACAGATGGCCGGTCAGATAACACTGCAGCAAGTAAGTAGGAATGACAGTGCAACTTGAAACTTAGAAGTATCGTTGAAGTATAGACTGAGGCACAGACGTAAGATCCATTTTGTAACTGTAGCCCTCCAAAAAAACTGTTTAACTAAGACAACATTACAGAAGATATGGATTTAGAAATATAAAGCTAACATAAAATCCTTTTTTCTCATCAAATAATAATGATATCATCTTGTCATCTTATCATATAAATCACCATATCATCTTGTAATCTCATCATATAAGCATCATATCAGCGTATCATCTCATCAATTATCATAATGTAATCTTGTCATCTCATCATATAATCATCATATCATCTTGTCATCTCATCATATAGTCAGCTTATCATCTTGTCATCTAATCATGATATAATTCTGTCATTTCATTTAATTATCATATCAGATAGTCATCTAATTATTTTATCATCATATAATTTTGTCATCACATCATATAATAGGCATAGCATCTTTTCATCTCATCATATTATCATCATATCAGAGTGTCATCTCATCATAAAATCATAATATAATCTTGTTATCTCATCTATAAATCACCGTATCATCTTTTTATCTCATCATTTAATCACCGTAGCGTCTTGTCATCTCATAAAATAATCTTCATGTCATCTTTTTATCTCATCATATAATCATCATATCATCTTTTCATCTCTTCATATAATCATTATATCATCTTTTCATCTCATCATATAATCATTATCTCATCTATTAGTTTGTCCACTTATTAAGCGTTATAATCTTTCTCTTTTTACTTTTTAAACTAGTTTTAAAAAAATATAATAATTATTATTATTATTTTCCATCATCTAGCCATAGCAGCAGCCAATAATCTCAAAGCGTCAGGTATAACGATCATATCAGTCGGCATTGGTTCAGCAGTCGATCAGAACGAGCTGAAGGGGATTGCCAGTAAGCCACAGTATGTCTTTAACTCCATCAGTTACGCCCTCTTGGATTATGTCAAGCGTGACCTTGTCAAACTGACCTGTGAAGGTAAGCATGAATATTGATTTGTATAGTATCTGGATTGTCCTGTGACAATTTTAAAAAAAAAATCATCTCTTATATATTGTCTTGAAAATTATAAAGAGACAGCGATTTGTATTTATTGTAGGTACATCGTTGTATATTTTAACCACATTTATAGTTTTAACTTAGTATTTTTGTTTCGATTATGTTGCGAATCGTTATCATACAACTTACACATTATTCGATATGCATTATATCGATATCATAGATTAATATGAGCGATACCACTAAAGATCGGTATGAGATACGAACTGCATATTTAGATTATTTAAAGCATTACCAATAATAGCCTATACAGAAGGCAATAAATCAATAACTGTCTGTAGTCTTAATACATTAACTACTTTTCTGAATTATTTTTATTGTTTAGTTTTGTATACGATTTTATACATTTTTAAATGGTTTTCTCATTAAATGATTTTTAAACATTAGATCTATATAATACTAGCCAATTTTACCCGTTTTTTTCCTGGTTGCAATGGATAGCATGTCATATTACAATCTAGTATTGTTCCTGGGTTTAATTTCATGAATGTTACACTTTACCTCCTCCAACAACTCATTTCAACCCATAAGCGGACACTAGGGCACTAGGCATTAGGCATTCCTAAACAAGAACAAACGCTTTCACACAGATCAAAACGTCTTAAAACATTGCTACTCTCAGAATTAAGGGATGTAAAGAAAACAAAAAAATCCAGATCATTTAACTTAATTGCACACCGTTTGGCAAAAGAAAAAAAAAATAAATACAATCTATAATAACGAAGAACAAAAAAAAAGAAAAAACAGAAATAAAAATTAAAGAACAACAAAAATCAGTTGATAAAAATTGTGATGCCATTTAATGAAAGCAATAAAACATCGATTTTTCACGGCCATACATGGGCTCAAAACAATAAATTCTAATAATCAGCTATACAATTATTATTATTTAAAAAAAAAGAAGTACAGCTGCTGATGTCAGTTGATTTTTAGGACAACTTCATCTGAACCAATCCAGGTGCAGGATGTATGACTATGCCATATAAAATTGATATCTATTTAGGTGTTATGATATTAAAAATGAGTTTTTTTTAAATAAATTTACATTTTTATACTTTTAAGTATCGGACAAGTTTTATATTATTAGATAATATTTTTAAAAACATTTTTATACTTTTTTTTAATAAATAGTTATAAGTACATACTTATATATGGTTTGTACATGTCATGGCAATGGTTTTCAATAGTAATATGTTATTTATATTCTAAAAACATAATACACATTTCCTTATACTATAGCGTTAGGCGTCATTTTAAACGGCCTATGAATAATTTAAATGCCTGTTGTTGTTTTTTTTTTTTTAAATAGTTATCGCTTGACTTAAATTTTTTGTTTTCGAATAGAGCAAAATTAGCAAATATCAATGTAAAATTAATATAAATTGTCTTCTTATTCATTTTGGTACCAACAAGTTTCTTTAACAATGTTTCTTGCGCCATTTTTCTTGCGCCATGTTTCTTGCACTAAGTTTCTTGTGCCATGTTTCTAGCACCATGTTTCTTACGCCATGTTTCTCGAAAAATGTTTCTTGCGCCATGTTTCTTGCGCCATGTTTTTTGCACCAAGTTTCCAACAAGTCATATATTACATGCTCTGAATATCCTTAATATTTTATTTCTGTATGTTGAGTGTTGTATTAATTTTCCAGGAAAATGTTCAATGCACTCATTTTTAAATTCTGAATTCAAACTAACTGCTGGTATCTCATATGAACACTACTTATAAACAAACGAAACTCAATTTTAAAGCAATACAATTCATTTCTTCTCCAGCTGCCGCATAAGTCACCAAGACGCGAGACGTGATGAGGACATTTACTGAAAGAAACAAATCATATCACAATCTATGACACAATAAACTAGACAAACATGATGATGCTTTTCGTACACTTTTATTTGGTTGATGTAAATGTACACAACTCTCTTTGTTTGAAGGTAAATGTGGAAACTTGAAATAATTGCGAGTGTTGGGGCGTAGTGGGGTAATGGCTTAATGTTGTAGCGACATAAGGGCTTAGGTTGGCATTGGTTCATGGACTTAGATGTGTACGTTACGGCTTTACACAAGGAGTTAGTAAGTCTTACTTATGTTAAAAAGACCAATTTTCTGAGAATGATAAACATTTTGTCGTGAAAAGAATGAATCATATGCTGTTAAAAAAAAAAAAAAGAATCACCATTTCTTTACAAAATGCGTTCGTTTGCATGAAAGAGAATATGGTAATTCTTTATCGGAGTCGTCTCTGTTGAAACTAAAAAGCGAGATTAAGTTCATGAAATTTTAACAGTCCACAGTCACAAGACCTCCCCCCTTCTCCATGCATATGGTGAACGCAAAGGTATGTCCACTATTTATATAAACTTGGGTGCAACATTTGATGCCGGACTATTCCCCATGGCTTCAGCCACTGATCTCCCCTCGGTTTGTGTTTACATATACTGTGCATGGGGCTGTCGCGATGACCCTCGTAGCCTCTATTATGCGGAGTCTTCTTATCAAGAGTTTTCCAACTTTTGGATGAGCTACCAATGAGGTTGACGCATCTCAAAATATATACTTGGAATACCATCGGCAAATTTGAAGCAATGTAATTGAGTTCCTAAAATATCACCTTTAAATTGAATTGGAAGCTACAAAAGTACTACACAATTACCAATAGAATGATTTGGGGTCAACCATTCAATTCGAGTTAACCCCTGCCTATAAAAATTTAACCCTTTATCAACACCTTGAAAAGTTTATAATTTAAAAAAATAAATAAACTAAAGCAATAGGAATTCCGAGATGGAGAAAAATCTAAACACATCAAACCCATTTTCTCTTTTTGAAGGCAACTTTCAAATTTCGGTTTTGATGCGAAATTAAATATTTTTGCATAGTGTTGGAGTAAAACAAGTACTTGGGATAGTCCTTAAGCCTCAATACATTCTCAACAAACATGGCAACCGCTTCAACCCCTTAATCTCGACTTTTCATGGAAACAAATTACTTTCGATTTTCCATTTTTCAAATTTACATATAACACTTATATAACGAACCAGTGGTATTGCTGACACAGTTGTATGAAATAAATCAAAAGGCCTTTAGGTTGTTAAGTAATTAGACCAGATCCATTGTTCACTTGATCCCGACGAACCAGCTGGCCAGCTGATACACGAAGTTTGAAAGTTGACATATCGAGGTTCTACAACAAAGCTACGAGTGAACTTCTAGGTTGAAATATTTAACGACTCAATGCGATTCTAAAATATATTAATGACTTGAACTGTTGGAGACCAGCTGCATGTTTTAAAAAGCGTTGTTTCAAAAGCCAAGGAGTTTCATTTGTGTTCATTACGACTGATTTAAAAGTTCACTTTGAATTATCTTATGAACTGTATATCTATATTCTTAAAAGCAGCAAATAATGTTAAAATTTTATTTACATGAAACATGTCATTAAAATACTTTTTTTTTAAAAATTGACGGATGTTTATAGAATTTATATTGTAAAGCTGGAATATCTCAACTTTTTAAATAATCAAATTTCCGATCATTTAATCTCCAAATCCTTTCAACAAATCCCCATTTTTCAACTGATCCTTTTTGAGATCGTATAATTGTGTTATTGAAGGAAATTGATATTCTTAATTCCCTTTTACAATAACTATAATGTTATTTATGTTTTTGTTTAAGGATAAATTATGGATGGCTAATTGACCCACTTCTAGTCATCTATCAAGATGAATGTTGGAACATAATCTTGTTACGAATGAACAGCATATCCTATCAAATTTTCAGCCTCATCACCTTTGCTCGATATCAAATTTTATAATGGATTTATAGGGAAAACTTTATTTTCAGTTGTATTCTTAAAATTATGTACAGTGTAAAGTGTACAGAGTCTATACATTTACACCGTAGAATAAACATGAAACTGTTTATCGGGTGCACGAAATTCTATCAAGACTTATCAAAGTTTGACTTCATTGAAGATGATTCTAATATATGCACATGTGCCAGGAAGGATTGAACAGTCTCATTGTAAAAAAAAGCTTTTAGCTGTCTAAATCTGGTTAGATTTCACTCTCCATGTCACTTTAGGTGGTTTCCACATGGTTAGGCTATTTCCACCAAATTGTTTACGCTGTAAGTAGTCCCCAGAGAGACTTTTTTTTTTTTTTTTTTTTTTTTCGGCGGTAAAACAAAATTTTTTTTTTTTTTTTTTTTTTTTTTTACGGCGGTAAAACCAAATTCTTGTTATTCCTACTTTTCTTTTGAGAGCCTCCCGCATACATTCACTGCTGATCTGCATTTTTACCAGACATGTTTTTTTTTCTTCTTGATCTATTGGCAACATCTGTTGTCCCACATTTGATCTCACTAATTGGGCGTTCTCACATGACGTAGCTGAGCCGTTATCTCTACGTCTGTGACACACATCGTATTATGCTTAAACCTAAATACTGTCTACCGTTTAAAATATTTACACATTAAGTATTCAAATTTATTTTACTTTTTACAAAAATTAGGGAATTTCAAATGCTCAAAAAAGGAATTGATAAATAAAGGTGTTACATAGCTGTATCGGGAAGAGATGTTAAAGTATATGACGCTAAAGAGATAAAATGAATAGTGCAATGCAGGTTGTCTACACTCTATAAAAGATTAAGCCAGAAGACAATTCTAGTAAATATAGAAGATATGTTAGCCAACCAGTCGCGTAGCTAGGGTTGGTATCAACCGGTGGGGTAACCTCATGGTGTCACCCAGCCCAACTCTAAAAAAAATAAATAAAAAAATTCCATGATGGATTTGTTCTTGTTAAAATATGTCCACTGTATAACAATGACAAGAACAAACACATAAATCGAAGGTCATAAGGTCAATGTATTTAAAAACTGTAACATTTTTAAGTTATAGTTATTTTTACATTAAATTTACATTATTTAAATTTTCCTGTCTTTGTCTTCAAAACTTCATACCTGTTAATGACCTGATCAAAATCAATGTCCTACACTGTATCAGTTTCAATTGATAGCAGAGCCACACCAGGAAGCCTAGACTGTCCCATGGTCTATCATAAATATTTCTTGATAAGCCTTAGATTTGAAAAGCTCTGCTCACATGAAGCCACATACACACATTTCGTACGAAAAAAATTAAGGCTTAGCGAGAGTATTGGAAGAGATTCGAAGCAGTAACCTATTTGGATTTTGTTTATTTAACATAAACAGCAAACAATCTGCAGCAAAAACAATACAATTTCTGACTTACTAGTGAATAAGCCATCCACGATAACAGTATTTTCTCGCCATTATGCATCATATCGTAGATCCATTGTTTTGTTAGTTGGCGAACACGTCCTTTAGATTTTGCATTTTGCCTTGTCCTTACTCTGACTTGTCCGTCCTTGTTCTGAAACGAGCTACTCCATATTTTAATAATTTCAGACCAAAAATAATATGGAACTGGTACCTTCCAGAGAGAAGCACCTGATAAAATGTGCCAGTTTTTGTCATTAACGATTACATTTACATTATCTTGGTTTGAATCAACATGATCAGCGGAAATTCTGTTTTCAATCATGCGCGTCTTTTACTCGTGTTTTCACGTCAATCTCTTCCATTTTCTCCTCTATTTGCCGAAAAGAATCCATGCTGCTGGTATCGGGACAATCAGTATCAATGATAGGCAAAGAAAAGTCTTTTGATGAACCCTGACCCTGGTCATCATTTGGTTTCTTGATATCGACGCATGTAGTGATTTTAGTGAGTTGCGTATTGGGACGGCAACTCATCTAAGATAATGCAATCTCTGAAATAAAACCCATAGGCGGTATGACATTGACACAATGAAAACGAACCGTAAAATAGAAGACCATAGCACGTGACAGAGTCCGTTATTGAAAGTAACTTCTCCTTTGTCTCCTTCTCACCTGAGTTGTTTTATTCTGTCACATTTTTAAATATTTTATATTAAATTTTGCTTTTGTTTCGTGGGTGGCTGGTTGGTGCCATTTTCAGACGTGTAACCTATCGAGCTGAAACTTGGCACGTAGACTCCATGCTGTTGACAAAACATTCTATCAAATTTTTAGGCCCCACATCTCAACCACAGACACCCCCCAAAAATCAGTTTTTCCTATTTTGTCAAGGCAAAGATGAATGAAATATGGTGACGCTGATTTGATGAACCAAATTGCCATGAACTGCTTCTACTGATGTACTTGGTGGGAATAAATCTGCGCTGGAAAGGCGGGTGGGTCATTACAATATTATTATGGTTCAGGGGCGTGAACAAATGTGTGGTTGCAAGCCTTTGGGAAAAGGGGAGGGGGGATAACTAATTGGGATTCTTATAAAGTGCGTAACTTATATACATGGTAGGAAAAAATGTCAGACCCCCCCCCCCTCAACCTTCACCATTGCTCTGTTGAAAATATTAAATTGCTAAACTACTTTACAAGGAAGATAATCAAATGAGCAGAGGGAACCATCAAGGTTAGTTCAACGTTTTCTTGTAGGAGATCAACAATGAGTCCTACCAACATGGAGAACCGACAAAGACAACATAAAAAACATGACGTATTTTCACAAAAAACAATATGGAGTGCAAAACAATGCGTGATCAACTTTCAGAGGCGAAGGTGGTAACCTCTGGCCGATGATTCTTACTACGCAGCCCTGAGAAGCTGCTCCAAGGCAACCGTTTCATTCCAGCTGCATCACGAATTAGTTGCGTTGTGGAAACCCACTGTAGAATCCCTCTTATAGGGCGTCCAACGCTTCCCCGGGATGGGTGGGGAAGATATTAGGACGCACATTTTTCCATCCCAACTCCTGAGAAAGTTGATCGTGTGCACGTTGTGGAAACACGGTGTCGGACCGACCG